TTTAGCTTTTTATCTTTATGTTGTTTTAGTGTACACTGAGGGCTGTGGGAGCATTGCAATTTAAAATTCCTGTGGAGGATCTGTACACATGGTTTTTTTTTTTTAAATAAAGCTGACTTTGACTTTGACTTGGATTTTGTTTACAGTGAGAGCAAAATTGTGAATACAGTGATGAAAATGGTCAGTACTTTCAAGAATGGTGTATATAGCTTTAATATTTAGATATATTATTAACGAATCGCACATTAACAGTGGCGTTGTTCACACTAATCTCCAACAGAGGGCAGCACTTCTCTAAGTCTCTTGTTAGCTTTCAGTCTGTCACCGCTCTTTTCTCCCCTTGCTGACAGCTGCTGCTGCGGAAACAGCAAAATCCAGTGTTTTCCGTAGTCATCGTTCACTAGCGTAAAGGCGAGTAGTTGTAGGCTTTGTCTACTCAAAGAAAGGCTTGAGTTTGTTCATTTGTTTATATAATTTAGCCCGAAAATGCCGTTAGAGAATCTAGAGGAAGAGGGTCTTCCCAAGAACCCCGACCTGAGGATAGCACAGCTGAAGTTCCTGCTCACAATGGACGGTCACCGACAGGATGCTAAAGTGAAGACGGAGCTCATGGACGCTATCAAAGCTAACAGTGAGTTAGCATTTCATCCAGTAAAAGCTGTTTCATTGGAAACACGAGTCTCATAGTGCACGATTTTGTCTCTTCATCAAGACACTGGGCACATAAATGCTCCATAGATGTGACTAATGTATAAAATAATAACTTATAAATGACGGGCAGCGCAGGAAAGTTAGCATGCTAGCTAACGATAACAGAAGACATCAACTGGGAAACTCACTGTGTAGTCTATTTTGCATAGCATTATCAAGTTAGAGAGTTTACATTAACTATGCAGTATTTTAAGCCTTTACATTTCCCTTAAGCTAATGTGACAACCTTTGCGATGTCATGTTAAAATCCTTTCCCGCTTCGTTAATATGAGACGTTAAAGGTGTACGCTACGTGTTAAGACTCAAGACGTTTATTGTCATTTTGGTGTTACCCAGCCTGAAACGAAATACTGTTTCTCACCAGCCTCTACAGTGCAATAAGCAATACAGTTTAAAAAGAATAAGTTTCAAAAAGTGCAGCAAAAAAGCCACAAATAGCATAAAAGTTCTAAAACAAACTCCAGTCACATAAGTTAGCCATGTTAGCGATGTTTCACGTTTTACACCACCGTGCTTTCTGTGTTTCAGATATGGCGCCGTATTACGAGAGTCTGTGCAAGGAGCTGAAGTGGCAACTGGATAGTGACCTGCTGAGTAAAATGAAAAAGGCCAACGAGGAGGAGCTGAAGCGCCTGGATGATGTGCTGGAGGATGCAGAGAAGAACCTGGGAGAGAGTGAGATCCGAGACGCGATGATGGCCAAGGCAGAGTATCTCATCAGAATTGGAGACAAGGTATGTTTTCAGAGCAGTCAGAATATTCAAGTTTCCAGGTAGGAAAATGAACACTGTTAATGCCTGTGCATGTTGGAATATCTTTTTAATTTTGACACTCTACAACACATATCTGCTTCTAAGTGTTTTGGGTGAAACATACTGAATAAAGTTTAGTTTTCAGAATTTCTCCAACAATAGCTGCTCCTTGGAGTTCCCAGATATCACAGCAAAGGGGTTGACATTTCCCTTTGATGTCAACACTAAGTTTACAGCAGTTAAATTGCTGGAAATGACAGTTTTTAATTTTGTTTTCTCTTTATTCTCTTAGAGCTGTTTGCATGAAGGTTATCACAGTTGCCCACTTCAAAGTTATATGTACAAAAAGTAACAGATTGGCTATTGCCTGATCTTGTCTGATGTCACCACAGGAGGGCGCCCTAACTGCATTCAGGAAGACTTATGACAAAACTGTGGCTCTGGGTCACAGACTAGACATCGTCTTCTACCTCCTGAGGATTGGCCTCTTTTATATGGATAGTGATCTCATCACACGCAACTCGGAGAAAGCCAAGAGGTAAAGGCTCTTAAAGCTTTGTTCTGAAACAAATCTGTCGGCGCTTTTTTTCCCCTATTTAATACTCATCTGTCTGCGCATCTCTGTTCACCGCAGCCTTATCGAGGAGGGGGGAGACTGGGACAGGAGAAATCGTCTGAAGGTTTACCAGGGCCTGTACTGTGTGGCCATCAGGGATTTCAAGCAAGCTGCTGAGCTCTTCCTCGACACAGTCTCCACCTTCACTTCCTACGAACTCATGGACTACAAGACGTTTGTTACCTACACCGTTTATGTTTGCATGATTGCTCTCAAGAGGCCTGACCTACGTGAAAAGGTAGGAGAGAGGCTTGTGTCTGCTCACAAGATGTGTAACTTGGCAACATGTCTGCTGGTAAATGTACTAAATATGTTTCTCTGTAGGTTATAAAGGGAGCAGAGATCTTAGAGGTGCTCCATAGTCTGCCCTCTGTTCGCCAGTACCTTTTCTCGCTCTACGAGTGCCGTTACTCAGTCTTCTTTCAGTCCCTGGGTGAGGTTTTTTTTTGTTGTTGTTGTTGTGTGTGTGTGTGTATTCTCAAGAAAAACATCTGAATGCGAAGGGACTGTACTTACAGCCATTATTTATGCTTGTGTTGGTGCTTTGCCATATTCTGAAAACGTAAATATTAAATGTGAAACTTTGTGCCACAGCCACGGTGGAGCAGGAGATGAAGAAGGACTGGCTCTTTGCCCCACACTACCGCTACTACGTGAGGGAGATGAGGATTCAGGCTTACAGCCAGCTGCTAGAGTCCTACCGATCTCTTACCTTGGGATACATGGCTGAGGCATTTGGTGTCAGCACAGAGTTCATTGACCAGTGAGTTTGTTTGTTTTTAAACACCTGTGCATATACTATGTAACTCTGCAAGATTTGGAAAATATTATTGAGTGCCAATACAGCCAAGAAGGCAACACTGAAAAACTTAACTGTGGTGTCTTTGAGTGTGCAAGTTTATTTTTCTTGGTATGCTTTGATTGTTTTATTTTGAACACGTAAATATAAAGTAAGCACAAATTACACTGTAAACAGAAAACAAAGTACATATCACATAATATACATGCTTGAAAATATGTATATGTATATAGATGAGGTTTAGTGTCTTGGCATAACTTGTGCTATAAATTGTTACATTCAAACTGGACCATCTGTCTAGAACAGTTATCAGGATGGTACATTGGAAACTTACTAAATCCGAATTACTTCTGCTCAGGAATATAATTAGGAGTCTATAGGCCGATGGTCATCATGTAGAACTGGGTGTTATCAGCATAAATGTGGGAGTTAATGCTATGTTTCCTGATGACATTTCGTAGGGATAGTATTTGAAGATTGTTTTAAAAAAGAAAAAAGGGATCTAAAATTAAACCTTGAGGGACACCCCAGTTAATTCTATAGCTGTTGCATGATTGATCCTCCATACGAAGAATTCTTAATTAACAACATGAATGAAGCCATTTTAAATCTAAACCAGAACGGCCAATAAAACTGAAGTCTCTTTAAAAGGGTGGGAGTGGTTCACCGAATCAAAAGTTGCCCTTAAATCAGGCAGCACTAAAATTGAAGACCTATAACTGAGAATAATTGTCTAAAATTTTACTGGTGGCTTGTTCTAAGTCATTCTAAGTTATCTTTTCAGAAGAGGTTTTACCAAAGCAGTCTGAGAATTGCATCACAGTGAACCAGTAAAATGAGCCAAGCCTTCATTTCAGTGTTGGAGGAATATTTTGACCATGAGAAATATTTAGTTGGTCCTAATGCCTGTTACATATGATAAAGGTACAGGGAAGCAGTTGGTTCTTGTAGTATTTCTTGGACATTTGTGTCACCATTAAGTTCCTAAATAATTCACAGAAACCATTTGTCAAAATAAAATTGTCCAAATTCCCTGTTCAGATTTTAGGGAATGCTGGTGTTGGGTTTTTTTGGTCCTGGCTAACGCAACATATGCCCATCTCCTTCCCACAGGGAACTGTCCCGATTCATAGCTGCTGGCCGCCTCCACTGTAAAATTGACAAAGTTAATGAAATTGTGGAAACTAACAGGTAATGAAACTATCATTGAACCCACAATACTTCGAGTAATTCCCAGAGCACTAAAATGTTGTCCTGTTCTTGCATGCAGACCGGATAGCAAAAACTGGCAGTACCAGGAGACCATCAAGAAGGGCGACTTGCTTCTCAACCGAGTCCAGAAGCTGTCAAGAGTTATTAACATGTAACCACGGAGGCCGCCATCTTCATTAAAGCAAGGGGCTTGTATTATTCTTTTTTGGCATACTGAGACCTTTTGTTTGTCAAAGTAACTCTTCTGTTGTGTACATAATAAAACTTGTTTAACTGTTGACATTGCATCACCTGTTTGTTTTAAGAAAGAGGCAGACACATCGTTTCTTATAAATAGCAGTATAAATTATTTTATTTACAGAAACTTGTTACAAAACAAATATACTATACAATCTTTACTTTAAATATTAATTCTAACCTATGTTTTGTTCATGAATTACATAGCAGCCAATACATAAGTCCAGCTGAAAATGATTCTGATAATGTATACCCCCAAAAAAAAAAAAAAAAATCTATACACGCTTTTACATAGTATGAATGGTGGTTTTATTTTTTTCTTCCCAGACAAGCTGTATTTTCTCTCACTTTCACATTCCAAGTCTACGGTGCTAAGAAAGAAAACATCCTCGTAATGTTTCCTTGTACTGGAAACAAAGTCGAGATGTCAGTAGAGATTGAGGGTAAACAAAACACTTGAGTGAAGTTTTTAAATACAAACCCTAATAACCCGGAGGGGGCTTAGGCCACACACCGATGCTAAGAAAATCTCAATGGAAAACAAAAACAGAAGTGTTTCGCAATGGGCAGCTGACAAGCTCAAGTTCCACTACATTTAGGGTTCAGAGGCAGACTTAAAGCCAAATCCCCTAAATACTTTGAACATTCAAGTAAGGGAAAAACAACCCAACGAATACTGTCTTCAAACAGTTGGGATGAAACAAATTCAGGCACTTTCTTAATTTGATATTTCTTTTAAGAGCTGCTCAACGCGTTCTTTAAAAGCTGTGATTCAAATTACTCGTTTGGCAACAACGACGCAAGCAGTTGGACCGTAAAAATGTTCCTATTCCTTGCAATAATTTCTGCAGTCCCTTCAGCCTATTTTCTTTTTTTTTTTTTTGAATAAAAGAACGTGTTTCAATCATGAAATGTGTTTAAGGTTTACAAAGTGTTACGACTGAAGAGTCCACGAGAGATGGTTAGACAGCGGGGGCACAGCTTCGAGCCTGCACGACATCGCAGAATCACAGGCTAATTGGGTCGCAGAGTAACTTATTTTGTTAATTCGTAGGCAACATAAAATGTGTTGTAAAAGCACATGTGATTGAGACCTTGAAAAGTGAATAAAGGTTTCCTGTCATACAGACACATGCTACAGTGACAACACTTCTTTCCCTAAAGGATCCCAGTACACGATTCATGAGATGCTTCAGCTTCCACATATAGGCATATTGCATTATATAGACTTGGCAGTGAACCACTTCAAATAGTCATGTTCTCTGACTTTATCTTTTTTTGTTTTTTGTTTTTTACTAAATAAATAATGAGTTTTCAAAATTGTACCAAAAATTCTGCGTGTACAAAAAAATGCCTGTGCAAAAATACATATTTGAACTATGTACAATTTGTTAACAAAATATGTTTTCTCAAATAGGGATACTTCAATACTTGTTTGATACATAGGCTACAAGGAAAAAAAAAAGCTAACTGAAGATTTAAAAAAAAAAAAAGTCTAGGTTTTCCACACTAATTGACATCAGTGGAGGTTCCATAAAACAGGTGTTGCCAAAAGATCTAAGATCTATATCCAGTGAAGCCATCTCCATGAATCTCACACTGTAACGCTCGTCCCCGAGACCTCTTGACCTAAGCTATTTCCCAACGAGTGGGGCAAGTATTGCCTGATTTAAGACTATTTTGACAGCGGAACAAGAGTACAATGCCTCGTCTACTGTGACAAATCTCTTCTGAACATAGTGTTACTGCGAGGCATTCAAACTGTAACGTCCAGAGCTTGGGTAGTGGTTACACACAGGAGGGACAATCATACCCACAGAAGACAGGTGACGTGCAAGTTTGCTCCAGTTAAGACGTACCATACCTGATTCCCTATGTTTAAAAATAAAATAAAATACAATTCACATCTGCCCACGTACAGCTGTGGAATTCACTCAGCGGTATAAGTAACTTGTGGCTATAGTTATACAGCTTGCACAGATTTTCTTCAATCCACAAATGCGCCATCACTGCTTCATAAGCAAGACTGCCCACCTTTTACTTAAAAAAATAAAATAAAATAAAAGTAGTTGGCAAAGCTGATAGCAGCTTTTTGGCTTGCTTTGTGGACAACTAAAGCAGTGCCTGTGGAGAAAGTAGTTATTTAGTGCTGTTCACAGTTGGGGGTAGGTCTACTGTGGCTATCATTTTGCACGCTGAAAAGATTCCGAAAATTAACAGGCTTCTTCGAGACCGAGCTCTCCCTCTCTGACAAAAGATCCAATCGAATGGGCACATCAGGTGTCCTTTTCACATTTAAAAGCACAACCGTCTTCACCAGGTCTACAAAGCCCCTTTGTAGTTCAGTGTAAAAAGATCATAAGAAATCATAGAAAGGTAACACTTGCATAATTATTCCGGGTAATAAAAGAAGTGACCAGATCATCCCTACGGGCTCGTCTCAGGCTACTGCATGTTACCCGAGGTAACTCAACATGTCGCCAGGGAGAATCACACTAACAAGAAGTGAAACAAGGTGATTGTGTGTATTTTTCTTAAGGTTTTTGCAAGTAACAGTTTGCTTCTCCTACTGCTTTGCTTGCAAGGCTTCTGAGATCAGGCGCTGGGGGTGTAATTAAGTTGGAAATTCCAGTAGTCCAGCAGAATTTGACATGAGAAAAAACATTACTCGTACACACACATAAGCACACACACACTCTCACACAGTCTTTTTTTTTTTCTTCTTTTTTTTTTTTTTAAACAAACACGGAAGAGATCTGCTCGTTGTCTCCCCAGTTGCTCAGTGTCATGACGGCTTGTTGCAGCAGCCCTTAACCTGAACCCAATGACCTTTGAACTACAGGACAAGAGACCGATGGCTGTTGCAATTGTTCCTCCGACCAAACAGGAAGACCTCTCAGAATACTGGGACAACAGTGGCGTGGGGGGGATCCTTGGCTTGCGCATTAGATCCCTGGCGCTCCACGCTATCCCCCATTCAGTTCCCCCTGCCCGCACCTCACACACACATGGCTTTGGGAGAAACGGTAAGGACCACATATACATCATTGGGCAGTCCAAATTATCTCCACCCTGAGGATTGTGGGAAGCTGAGAGTAATGTGGATTTGATTTCAGAAGGCCTCATGCATTCCAGAGCAGTATGCGGACCACTCTGGATTATTTCCCGCCCGCCTGCCAGTTTCATACACTGAAGCCGGACACCACTGTCAGGGACGAGCCTTTGGCTGGAAAAGGAGAGGAGAAAAACATCATCTTAAAATGGCCGTAAAGTCATTAGTCTATAAACTAGTTTTGTAGTTTAATATGAGGCTTTAATTTCTAGCAACAATTATGTCTTTCTTTCTGTATTTTTTATTTTTTATTTTTTTAAATCGGGGGATTCAAATGTCGGGCAAGATCATTGAATGTAATCAGAAATGTCTTATCACCTGATACTTTTGGCATTATATATCAAATACTATGAATACCTCATTTCCTCATCTTTACTCAGTTTATATCAGCCCTTCAGGTTCTTTAATATTTAATTTCATTCATTTTGATAATTCACATGAAAAACAAAAGAAAAAAGTTTTTAAAAAGGATTATGGCTGAATACCACTTGGGCACTTTGCTTGGAGGATGCAGTTTATGTGCATGATAGCTCAGAACTGTAAGGTGTTCATAGTCATACTTTATTCATTTATTTTGAAGTAATACACTACACTTTTATTAGTCTGTGTTCAGAATAAGAAAATTGCCATGACCTAATATATATCTGAAAAATGTGGAACTGTAATCATGGTTTAATGTGGTATCCTTAAAATCTTAATAATATCCATCCTTAGCCTAAGATGACCCACATCCCCAAATTTTAAGTGCAGTGACCTGAGAAAAAAACAAAATCTTTCACAAGATGCAATCAGTGAAAACAAAAACACATCCTGAATGTGTCTCAAAAACCAACCTGATGTAAATGAGAGTTGTTGGGTAGACCCGGTGTCCCTGGTATACTCCGCCCATGCTTCCCATGGATGTTGTTAATGGCTGGTGACTTGGCCACTTTGGGTCTACCTGGTCCTGGCCCCCCACCTCCTACTCCGAGCCCACCTTCCCCACCTCCGCTATTTACGACACTGGAGGCAGAAGCGCTTTTGCGCTTCTTGGCCTCCAGGCGCCCGTCTGAGGAGTGGTGACTAAAGCTGGTGTGGTGGTCAGATGAGGATTGGTGGTGGACAAAAGGTCCCAAGGAAAGGGTTGAGTCACTGCTGTTCATTACCACACTCATACGCTTGATGGACTCTGCGGGGCTGCCCGAGGGAGGACCTCGTGCTGGTGGCCCAGAGGAGCCACCGGCGGAACTGCCAGAGAGCTCGGCCTTGAGGCTAAGGGAGTTTGTTCGCACAGTAGGCCCACAGTTAAGCCCCACACTGTGAACCCCACTATGGGAGGAGGATGACGATGAGGACGAAGGACCTAATGAGCTGTGGTGGTAGGTGCTCCCTGAGCTGCCGACATTTGCACAGTTCTTCTTAAAAGAGGAGGAAGAGAAGTTGGCATTGGAAGAGGAAGATTCAGTGGAGCCATGGGATGAAGAGAGGATAGAACTGTTCTTCCTCTTCTTCCCCGAGCTGAAGCTAGCGCCGCTACTGGTATTGTTGGCTCCAGTGCTTCCTCCACTGGTGGCGTTGGGGATGACGGTTATGGAGGAGCCAGACGAGCTCTCCTTGGGCTTAAAAGATGATGACGATTTGGTAGTGCTGCTGCCAGAGGAACGGGACTTAGGCACCCGGCCTGAGGTTAGGGAAGGAGCTGAAGAAGAAGAGGATGAGGACAAGTGGGCTGAAGGCATCTGCGGCGACGAAGACACTTGTCGGGCTTGTGTGGTGCCATAGGCCGGGTGCTCAGCCCCACCCTGCGGCGAGCTGCGGGCATTTAAGGTGGTCCCATAGGAGAGCACTGACTTGCCCTCGTAGGATTGGCTGTAAGGAGTCTGGGGCAAGGTGGCAGGAGGGCCCAGGAAGCCTGAAGAGGGAGTGCTACAGTGGGAATTTGTGCTTGTCCTATGGGTGGGTGCAACAGAGGAGGAGTTCTCCAAGGCTAAGGGGATTTTCCTAAAGCAAAGAATATCAGAAATGAGCCAATTATTAATTTGACTCATAAATTAAAAAAAAAAAAAAAAAAAAAAGGAAAAAAGGATGAGTCCAAGACTGACTTACTTCCACATTTGGGAGTTGACATGCTTTTCCATCATTGTGGTGATGGTACATCGCACTTTGTCCCATCGCCGGTCAAAGGAATAATAGCCTCTCCCAAACAGTCGACTCCCAAAAGTACAGTACTGGGAATAGAAGGGAAGAACAGATGAGAACTGTAATCTTTAATGGCTTGACCAGTGTAATAAAAAAAAGAAAGTTCCTTGGGGGTAACAGCAGATGAAGTGCACTTACAGCTGCCGGTCGTGGATGATAACCTGAATAGTGACAGTCCAGTTTCTCAGCATTGTCCTCACGCTCCTCATTCTCTCCCTCATCACTGGATGGTCTAGAAAAGCCATCGGGAGTCGTTTGGGGATGGTGTAGCGACTCGTGGACTGCTGCAGAGTCTCCAGAAATACCACCTCCGTGACTGCTGTTTAGTCTAATGGAGAGAAAATGTGCCCGGTCACTTTCACCATATTCATCAAAGCTGAATCAAATTAAAACTGTCTGTTTTACGCCTGTGTGAGCAAAGCTACACACAGGCACAATACAAGCATAGCAAAAAATCAAAGTGTGGCACAGCAATTACCGTGGAAGACCAGGGCTGTGAAATTTGGGCTTTCCAATTGGCAAAGGCTTAGTGGCATCAAGGGCTGGGCCGTTTCCATGAGCCACCTGGTGGGCATCATGGCCAGAGGTGAGGTGGGAAGAGGGGTGTGGGTCCCTGAGAGGGGGGTTTTGCTGGGAATGATTTTGGTGGAGTTCTCGCTCCCTCTCCCGCTCCCTTGTTCTGTTCTTGTGCTCTGCCAGCAATGTGTCAAAGCGCTTCCTCCGCCCTGGCACCGCCCTCCGCTGGCTTAAGGAATGTGTCTGTTGAGACATTATCAAGTCAATAGAATTTTCATTATGGAAAGAGGTGGAGAGAGTTCTCCTTAGAACGGCTCTTAATTTCCTTTTTTTATTGCTGTTTATACTTGGCAGCTCTGGCTCTAACAAATTTTTACAACATCAATCACAACCATCCTTTGAAATGCAAAAAATAACTTAGGTAATATTCTATACATTAAATAGAATAATACGACATAATTGAACTGTATGCCAAAGTGCTCCACTTATATTAAAACGAGTGGCGGCATTGTGCTGTTTCATTAAACACAGACATTGTAGTTTCCTATATTTCACAGTAGAGTTCATCATTACAGGCTCCTCAGAGTTACGCTGTGCTCCTCTTTGTGGCAAACCATCTGAGCTGACAGCATGTGTCCTAGAAACACCGGCCCTCAATTGTCAGCCTGTGGCTGCCGTGGGAAACGCTCATCCAGAGGTTTGAAGCTTGCTGCCTCCACAAGTATGTCAAGAACACGTTAGATCATCTTGTGAATCTAGCAAGTGTGCTTTGATCCTCATTGCTGACAACAAGAAAAACTGCTGAGCATTACCAGCCCAATTCTCTTAAAAAAAAATAAATGCATTTATACAGCTCAGTAGCAGCATGCAAAGCAGGGACTTTGTTACCTTGCATGTTAGGGATCTTGTGCAGGGTTTTCGAGATGTCACATCTATAACGCCACAGTGGATATCTGGATTAAACTCACGTTCTGATGGCAGAGCAAAGGGGGAGGAGAAAAACATTTGTTACCTTTATAATTTGGGACAAGTTGTGTTATGCAAAACATTAACATTACATAATCCTTTCCCCTCTAAGGTAATGTATGGGACATTTTGTTTAAGCTGCAGACAACATTCTGAAATGATGTCTGCTAGTTACACTCTTTTATAGGCAATAAAATAGGAACCTTATGGGAGGTTCGTCTAATAGATTAAAAAGCAAGGTTATAAAAAACAAAAACATTTAGGCTAAGCATGTAATGCGGTATGAGACTTTTAAATACTCTGAAAAAATGACAAAATGTAACTAGTCCCCCCTCATTCCACATTCCAGCTGACCTGTGACTTTCTTGTTAACGTGACGTCTGCTACTTCCACTGCTGCTGTCCTGCTTCTTCTCCGAGAGGACAGTGAGGTGGCCCTTGCCATTGGGAATCTGGCCTGGGGCCAGTAATGGAGGCTTTGGTATGGAGGGACAGTTAAGGCCTGCTTTTAGGGCTGATGAGGAGGTCGTGATGGCGGTAGTGTTGGAGCTCACAGTGGTGCTAGAGGAGGATGTAGAGGAGGACGAGGTGGTGGCGGGGGCAGATGGAGCTTGCGCTGGCTTAGCTGGTGTGTCCGGCTTCGGATGCATCTTGTCCATCTTGACAGCTGGAAGGCTGGAAGAGAAGATGACAGCAATGAAAAGGGTGGTGACGAGGAAGCTGAGAGTTAGAAACAGTGAGCCAGTGACAAGCGTATGGTAAGAGACAGATGTGGACATATGGATGGCCCTGCGAGGACAATCACTACTAATATGTTCCGCTATATATCAAACACCTTCAAAAGAAGAAAAAGGTCAAAATCAATACTCGCGTATAAATGACTGAATCAGATTTCTACCGAGAAACAAGCAGTAAAGGCAAATAGCTCTGACTGCCACATAAACCATCAATAAGCAGTAGTACCTTATTTTCAAGTACTAGTATTGCTACAAAAACTATTACAAGTAGTCTCCATTTCAAAATTGTTTGTTTTTTTTAAATTAGCCTTTAGTATGTCTGCCAGAAATGTGGTTGTAAAAACCCTGCACCTGTGCAAAGTGAAACTTACATCTTTTCTGGCTGGTTCATCCTGAAGGGGGCAAAGGGGGGTCTTCGCTGAATGCCTGGCAGCTTCTCTTTGGCTGGTTTGACAAGTTTGGGATTGGAGGACGACAATGAAGAGGAGGGTAAGCTTGAGCTAGCAGCTGAAGGTCGACCAAGGATGCCTCCGGTAGCCACTGCAGCTACGGACACCGAGCCCACCCCGGGCCCAATCCCACTGCCGCTGCTCCGGTTCCTGGCAGACGCAGGAAACGGCGAGGTGGACACTGGTTTGCTAGCCGAACTGTGTCTTCTCTCTAAAATGATAACAAACAAACCAGAAAGGCATTAAAACATAATAGTTAACACACTAATTATAATCCAACACTACTATAGGACTAAACATAGTTGTGACTCATAAAAAAAAGAGAAATGGAAACATTAAAAATCTCCCTCTAACAGCTGTGAGCATGTTAGCTGAACAGCTAATAAGCAGTATTGGTGATTCATCCGCTGCATCTTGAAATAGAACTGGCCAACAGGTCAAGAGCTTTCTTTCTTGCCTGAGCTTCTTATAACAGCTGCTGTGCAAACTGATGAAAGTCAGTAAGACAGCAGAAAAGGTTAGAGTGATGCTTAGTTGTGGATGGAAAGACAAAAATAGAACTTGGAGGGGGGGGGAAATGCTCATCTGCTTAAATCCAAAACTAGCTGTCTTTAAGCACACTGCTTTCCAAGATGAACAAACTCTGTGTGAACACAAATTGCACCAATTACACATTTACACAAGACAATTACAGATCTACTTTCAAAGAAGGCTCACATCACATCCTATTTTTAGTAACAGCGTACAACAAAAGCTGCTGTCCCAATGTCACCACTACACAAGCACTTCATAGTTTAAGGTTGATTAGCTGCCACTGCATAAACAATTAAAAAGAAAAAGATAGACAAAAACATCATGAAGGATTTTTGTTTTAATTCATAAATGACTGGAAGCATGAAGCAGAGAGATCTGAATCTTGGCAAAAGCAGCAGCTCTCTAACAGAAATAGTGGGCGCTCTGGGTGACACAGACCGACATACACTCCTGCTGCTCTGATTACATGTAGAGAAAGAGAGACTGACAGACGTGAGCGTGGGTGTCATACGCCCTGCCTCGATCACGCTCAATCCAGGGAGCTCCCTCACCTAAACCAAACTGAGAATTTTCAGCATCAACATCTGACATGGAGAGAATCTCCTGCTGGAAGCTGCATGTGAGCAAAAGCAGCTGCACAAGACAGACAAAGGTGACTAACGAGAATTTCAGAAGAGAGACGGCAAATAAACATTTGACTAAACACTCATAGTCAGCTCTGAGAAGCAGCAACAAAAGACAGGACAGAAAATAACTGTATGCTTAAAAAAAATGAGAGATAAAGGTGCATCAGCACCAGAAGCATTAGTAATTTTCTACCAAGAATCTGTGTCAGCTGGCTACTGTCACCAGTGTTTTTCCTGCATGATTAATAAATAAATAAAAACAGGCACCTCCATGAAAGAGGTTTTGGCCAAAGGAAAACCACCAGGATTATAGAAAAAAGTATTTTAACTTTTTTTCAAAGGTTCTTAAATGGTATAAATAAATAAATAAATAAATAAATAAATGTAACATGAAAGATCTTCTGCCAAATATGGTCACCTAGACCCTCTGCCCCAAACTTATCATGCTTATGTGTGCAGTCATCTCTCAACTGTCTTTTGATTTAGTCCCATTTTGTGTGATTATAGCTAACTATATGGTAAAGTTGGGGAGTGGGTTGTGGGACAAAACTCACTGTCATCAGGTAACAAAAAAAGTGGAGTGGCTACAAAGAATACGAATGCTCAAAAAAGGTACCACTCCCATTTGCCTTCAGCTATATTCTTTAAGAACACACACACACACACACACACACGCACACACACCTAACTCTTAAACTTCTGCTTTCTGAAAGAAAAGGGGAAAAAAATTGCTTTTAAGCGTGCCCTCTCCACACCAGGGGTCTCTCCTGCACATCCATTCAACCTACACTCCAGATATTTTCCCCTCCCACTTCTAAGAAGCCAAACAACCCAAAAGCTTTTCTTTCACTGCCTCCCTCCCACTTCCTCTCACTGTCTTGTCCTGTCCCAGTCAACAGCGAACCTCTGCACACAAACTCACAACAAGATATCCAAGTGAGACAGTGGTGCTCTGTCTACAAAACAACAAAAGCCAACAGCAGCACCAATGGTAGTCATAACTGATGTAGGGGAGGAAAAAGGGTAAGGGAAAAAAAAGGACAGACAGACACAAGACATAGGAGGAGCCTTAATATCATGTTTCATATTATCAAACAGCTGGCTCAGTGGCATGGGGGAAACCCAGCCTGCAGAAGTGAAAAAAAGAAAGAAAATCAAGAAGTGTAATGTCTTACTACAAACTCCACAGGCATCATGTTTAAGTAAAGACAAAGTGTAACCTTTTTTTTTTTTTTTTTTTAAAAAAGAAGGTAAAACTAAAACCTTGAGTTAACAAGAAACTCAAATCCACCGTGGTTCCCTTCTTTTACCATTTGAGCTCAAGACACTGAATGCAAAATTCTGTATGTCTCGATCTCTGAGGAGTCTTTGTTAGACAAGTTCATAAACAAATGCATAAAACGCCAGGCAAAGCAGCAGCTTCCCGTTCCGTGGTGAGTGTCACCCCTGCTGGGCTCAGCCTCAGCCGAGAAGCACAGACACCTAAAGGGAGACAGATGGGCTCAAAGAAGCACGCTAATATCATATTGAGACCATCTCAATGGTGCTGAGATCAGTGCCTTTTCCCCACGTTAACGCTGCACGGGGTCCTCCCATAATGACATCACAGAGAGGACATGGGGTAAAACACAGCAAGAGCACTGCTGCTCTGTATGGCCACACATACATGGCTACAGAGTTTCACTTAGATTTAGACTGTGTGGTTACAGCTGATGCAATAAGCTCATTAAGTGAAACTTTGTTTAAAAAATAATTTTGATATTGCATGGTTTAAAAGCTTCTTTTAAAAAAAAAGTAATTCTTTGCATTCAGCGGCTCAAATCGGAAGATTTACTGTGATGGGGAATCTTTGGGTTTAGCTTCACCGCCTGATTTTGAGAACAGAACTTAAAGATGTTGCAAAAGACGAAAAAGAGACTGGTGCATTCATTATGATAAACACACTACAGACAATCTGTTCACACAAAGAATCAGCAGCAGCAAACAGCTGAAAAAACAAATATCAAGAAACATGATGTAAATCTCTGGGTGCTTCTACACCATGGACCAAGCCGAGCACAGTCTGCATTAACAAAGCAACCCCTGTATATGAAGTAAAGCCACATGTTCTGATAATGATTGTTTTACTTTACACTGGTACTGCCATCCAGTGTTTATCTACAGTTCCTTCAAAACCCCCTGACACCTCAAAATAGAGGCTGTATTTCAGACACACCCATATATCTATACTGTTTAACAATGATGGAGAAGCCTCTGAGTGGTGTTCACACAGTTCCAAGGACAGTTTTACCCTAGAAGCCATGTGCTCCTATACCTCCCTCTTGTGGTTGACCTTGATAAGTGTAATTGCTGCTGCACTTCAGAGAACACCAGGCACTTCCAGGTATTTAGTGGCCATTGAAACATCCCCAGTTTAATGTCTTAACAGTACTAGAAATCTTATCTGAGCTGTATCTGTTAAAACAGCCCACTACTGGAAAGACTCGAGAGAGACCTGTCAAATATTAACACAGGAATTTTTAACACACAACCAGTAAATAAATAGGCTACTGAGTGGAGTAGAAAACTGGGTGGGTGGGTACACAGAGAGAAGAAGCACTACTAGGAGTGTGTTAATCAAAGAAATCTAGCTCTGCACCCCAGCTGCATAAAAAATAACTGAATATATAGATACATCAAGGCGTGTGTGTGCGTGTGTATCACTTACCAAAGTGTGCTTGAAAGGCTTGTGGCTTGACTACCTGACCACAGTGGCTGCACATCACCAGGTAGAAGTCGTCCTGTGCGGGACACTGGCCAAATATGGACATGTCTGTAAATGGGAAGATAGAAGCAGATGGGGCTCAACTCAAGGAGAATAAATAAAAGCGTGACCGATGGCATAGTTGGCAGCAGACTCTGCAAAATACACAATGTTCAATGTGCAACCAAACATCAACTGCTTACTTTGTTTTATATTTAATGTGCATTTGTTGGGGAGTGGGCCGAGGGGTAAATAGACAAACGCAGCAGACCACAAGAAAATGCATTCTTGGCTGAGCCCTAACAGCAATTCTGAATTATTGCCTAACACATACAGTAGGATCCATAAGTGTGTGAACAAGGCCATAATTTTCAGAATTGTCCTTTTCTACTCCATCGCATCAGAAAAGGAAATTTAGCAATCACAGTGTCATAAATGTAGACTCAAGTTAAATTCAAGTGGTACAAAATACTGCCCCACCCATTTAGCAATGGTAGATATTCTTTTACAAAGCTCCTACATTTCACGGTCTCAAAGTTCAGTGGACAAACTAACATAATTATAACATTTTCAGATTATAAATAATACATTAAAGTCAATATCTGCTTTTCAGCCAGTCAGTGAGAGAACCTATAAAGTAGCCAGAGTTGAGGTGCTTCTGGAGCTACATACTTTCCATATTGAGGCTGTGTGCAGTGGCTTGTGTTCTACTAATCTGCATTGAAGGCAGTGACCTGAAGAAACTGCTCTGTTTGGCCTTTAAGAGTCAGGGGGTCCTTTGTACCCTCAATGTCCTCCAGTACAGACAGTAGGAGGCAGTATTGGTTTAGTGACTGAGATAATAAAAACCTGTGTAAACCTGCTTTTTCTGCACACAGAAAACTGAAACCGATAAAGACTGAAGCAGGTGTGAACAAAATCTTATCAACATTCATTCCTAAATGACGCCTCGCTGGTCAGAATACTCATGAACAACTACTAAATGCTAATTTAACACTTGAAAACAACTCCAACCTTTTATCTTCTTAATTTAAAATGATTCAACAGGCCACACCTGGCCATGAAACTGCATATCAGTTAACTGTCGAATTTCTTTTGAACCTTTGAAATAGATGAACTATGTAAAGCACTGCTGTAGCAAGAGCCTACACAATATATCACACAGTGCTGCTTTATTAGAAATCCACTGTGGTGGTTTACAGAGGCAAAGTTCGGAAACTGTGCTTTTGTTCAACAGCTTAGACAAAATAAATTTGTAACACAACCCATTATAGGAATTTTTAAAAAATTAACAAGCTCAGGAAAGCAGTTTGGCCAAGTAAAGTCTACACATGCAACCCAGGAGTGATTTGTAAATATAGATCACTTGTGAGCCCTTATTCACCATGGAGAACAAGTACTGGTGATAAGCACCAATCCAAAGGTTGCCTTTCCAAGATATAAACAAACCCAGGACTGGCTTAGAGCGTGCAACATTTCTGACTCAATAATTAGGAGATATCACCAAGGAATCAGGTTTAATAAGGTGGGTGCCATTTCCTTAGTGCTTTCTATGTTGTTATTAAGAAACAAAGAAAGTTTGCCGTTTGGAATGCCACACTCTGAGCTAGGGCTGCTCAATTAATCAAATTTTAATCTCGATTACGATCTGGGCTTTCAACGATCATTAAAAATGACTGAGCCGATTATTAGCCCCTCCCTCGTGCTTTGCTCTCGCGCTGTTCCGTGTGGCAAATCGAGCGCACCTCTCTGCATTTTGAACATGTGTCACAACAATTAAGAGCAGCGGTCTCCAACCTTTTTTGCGCCACGGACCGGTTTATGCCCGACAATATTTTCATGGACCGGCCTTTAAGGTGTC